TCATCACCGTCTTCCCAAAATGACTTACATGGCTTAGTGGGTTAAATGTATCACCAAGAAATAACTAGTATCTGTTTTCATCTTAACAACCTGTTTACTTTGCTTTTCTCTATAAAGGACCTCTTTCAAACTTATGTTTCTAATCACAAGCAGGACAAGGTGACAAAGCAAAACCATCACCAATAACAGGAAAAAAACAACAGGAATTGCTACTAATGAATATTAGGGAGTATTTTCACACATAGAGAACCAACAGGTCTTTTAATTAATTTTGTTTCTGTGGTGGGTGCCGGAATCACAGAAAGGAAGGAAAGCTTTCACCCAGGGGGAACTCAGTGTAAAAAGAATAACGGCAAATACCGTGGAAACTCTGTTAACTAAAGTTTAAGCACAAAGAAGCACCGAACATAGCTTAGAAAGGCTTAGTGAGGAAGGTGGGAGGTAAAGGCTTCCCAGAAGCGGTACACAAGCTGAAGGATGGACTGAGTCATTTTTAACAATTCCCTGCAAACAGTGGTCTGATACAATAGGTATTTAGTGTAAATTAAAGGGCCAATGAGTAATAATGAACAACAATGTCATTATTGGGTTGCAGAAAAAACAGGACTAAGCAACAGGCATTTGGGATTTTTTTAATGTATATACTAGCAAGAGCATATCAACACTTTTTACCTTATTGTTCATTCTAAGGAAAACAATAGCTCTCTGACCGTGAATTATAACTAAACTGTATTAAAAATAGGTTTAGAATTTTTCCCTGTAAGACATAATAGGAGATATGATTTAAATGAATAATGCCAATTCTACAAGTTGAAATCATGGATTTATATAGGGAAAACAGGGAAACTCTTCATAGGAACTGCAGTTCTTTAATCATCAACATCAGTGATGTCACTACTTATAAACAGTGTGTTACAAATAGAATGTTCCCTTCAAAGTCTACATTCAGAGCAGATAGGTAAAACAAAGTTTTATATGTCAGTGAGGCACCTTCGCCATCTTGTGTTTAACTGTCTTCACTACACCCACAGGCCAATGAAACAAAACAACCAACCCAACCCAACCACCCATTGCTTGTCAGGTCATATTCTGGCTCTACAGGACAAAGAACTGCTCCATAGGATTTCCATAGGCTTCTCATGGATGCGGACTGCCACACTGTCCTCTCAGAATAGCTGGTAAGTTCAAACCACTCACCTTCTCATTTTAGCAGATAAGGTATAATAACCATACCACCATCAGGGCTCCTTACAGGCCAATGAGGGCTACTTAACAACTACAAAAGGTCACACTTAGTTTAGAGGAGATGCACAAGAACACCCAAACCTACAGATAGTACCTATTTGACCTAGCCTCAATGGCTTTATAATCAGAACTTGACCAGAGGAAGATTTAAAAAAAAAAGTTTTTGTGATAAATGAAGCAAGGGTAAATTGCTACAATTTGATGAACCTGACCTATGCTCATGGAGGTAGTAACTCTAAATACCAACAGAAAGGGAATGAGTCTTCACATCAAGTATCAATGCTATCCCCTCTGTACACAGGGTAGATAGGGACGGGCAACTTAGACATTGGCTACCTGAAATGAGGGGGCAATAAAGGCACAAAGTGACTGGCTTACAAGGTTTCAAGAGGGAGTTTAGTTTAAGAGTGTGTGTAGGGGAAAAAAGAGTCCCCACTGAATAATTTTCATCTAGCCTAGATGGGTCTGGTTAAAAGACTTATGATTCAATACTAATTATTGCCATGACTAATTGCTGTCACAATTGGGACCAAGGTGTTGGGGAGCGGCTGAGGACTCAAGATTCATAGGAAGAGAGGAACTAAGACACAGTGGCCAGAAGGCAGACTTAGAGAATGTGACCTTTGGTGATGTAAATTTATATATACCTGAGTGTTTTTTAAAAAGAGAGCTAAAGTGAATAGAAACACTGTTAACTGATGGTACATGGACGGTAATGTAATCATTGTGATCAAACAAGTTGTATGATTTGTTGAATGTAAAACTGATGATCTGCCCTGTATACTTTCACTTAATCCACATTAAAAACTTAAAACAAAATCACAATTAAAACTTAAAAAAAAATTCTCAACAATTACAGAATATAGCTTTATTTATAGAATCTTACAAATAAAACATTTACAGTCCACATAAGTTATTATCTTTTCTAATGTCATCTCATAACACCTGAGTTCTTTAAAAAATAAAAATAAAAATACTGTGATGGAATTGCAGAACTGTAAAGAGAAATATGAAATAAAGACATAACCTCTATCTTTTGCAAAAATCAAAGACAAAAATTTTTTGTTTTTAGACGATTTCCAGCATATTACTATCTCTATGAAAGAGAACTTATTTAAAAATAGACTTCAGGATACAAACCTTCTTTTTAACCCAGGGGGGAAGGGCCAACAAGGGTGAGGGTACACCCAAGTTGACACAGAATACCTTTGTGGGCAAACACAGAGGAAACTTGCCTCCTGGGATAAAACCTGTGCTCCTACACAGACTTTTCTTGCTAAAGGTAAGAGGAGCTGGTCCATACGGAGAAAAGAGTGGTTGACGATGTTATTGTAGGGGGTGGAAAACTCAATAATTTGCTACTCCTTAGACTTCTAATATGTACAAATGCTTAAAACAGCAAATTCAACACTTAAAAGTCAAAAAGACATTACCACATTTTCAACTTAGGAGGCAAATCTGTTGCCAAAGGTAACATAGAATCAGTTGAACTGAGTGTTTCCTACCCAACGAAGCCCCAACTATGGCTGCCCTCTGCACCAATTTCAGTTTAAACAATTCTATTTGAGGCAGCTGTCTATGAAGAGCTCTTATGATATAGCTATGTATGAAAAAGAAAAGCACCAAACTATTTCATATTGTGCATTTTAATCTGTTACTCCTAAACTAGAAATCCACTAACTCTAACTTACCTTAGTATTATACTTCAAGACAAATGTTCTTTCTAAGGAATGACAGGTTTGGTAGGGAATGCTAAAATCATTTTAAAACATCAGTGTGAGTTAAGTAAAGCAAAAATTTCCAAAGCTTTAGCTTTTAGTGTTATTTTCTGCTATCTCCAGAAAGCATTATGAGAAAAAGCAAACAGAAAAGACAAAGAATTGTTTTGAAACAGTAGCAATAATATAAAAAATTAGATTCTATCATTCAAGGAATTGGTTCTTTGGTAAAAATGGATCACAATCCTATCAGGAGTCAATCCTGACATTTAATCTAGAATCTTGAGAACTAAAGTTTTCCTCCATTTCAGCTCATTCACAAACCCATCAGTTCACAGCAAGGTAAGGGGCAAATTAACTTCTCAAGTATTGCCAGCTGTTTCCCTTCTCATAGTCAAGAACATTCCTGGCTTGAGGGAAAGTCCAAGAAAAAGAGAAACACAACAAAACAAAATAACTCTCGCCCCCCAAAACAGATGCTTTTAATTAACTGTATAATGAAAAGTTCTGCTGTGTGAGGACAGAAAAACTCGCAGGTGTTGGTAATGAACTCATCAGTGTCAGTCACGCACACAAAGTTTGTTAACACAGCCCCTGGGCTGCAGCTGCGGGCACCACTAAGAAAGGCTTCTGGAGAGACTGCTTCCCCAAAGTGGCTAAAGAATCTCACATTATCAATATGATAATAATAAATCAATTCACCTAGTGAACCTGGAGATTAGCTCCCCCTGAAGCCAGAGTTCTGAGGAGAAAGCTCCACAGTGCCTGAAGCTGGCCAACAGCTTCACAGACAAGCATCACCATCCATTTTCCGAAGCGAGTTAGAGCAATTAATGTTCAATTTAAGAGGACTGAATCGTTTTTTGGGTTGGAGGTAAGGACCTACAGAGTGTCATTGAAAATTCATTTGCTGTGCAATCAGTTAAAACTCTGCTCTGCAAACATCTGCTGGGCCAGCCCAAGTTTCTGACCTTAGATCTGAATTCCCTATTATTCACCCTTTACCTATGTCATTAGAAAAGTCTACATCTGCCTGCACTGATTCCATTTCTGACCACCCTTGTCTAAGTGGAGCAGAAACTGCACTCCAGTCCTCAAGGGGAAGTCGGGCTGTGCCATCTCTCCTCTAGTACAAACATCTTAAATGTGCTCAGAATGTGTTTCTAGGAAAGCAGCTGCTAAGCTTCTCAGAGAACAAGAGTGGAGAAGGAGAAGTGGAAATCAGAGGAAAATCAATGGATTGCTTTTGCAGCTCTCCCCAGTCCCCTCTCCCCGCCAATTCTGTCCAAGTTAATCTTAGAAAAGGTCCAGGCAACTGAACCAAGCTCCAATGGACCGTCACGAAACACTGAGGACACAAAATCAATCCAACATCCTTCCCAGAGGAGAGAAATGACCATCACTACAGGGCACACCCAGTCAGGTCTACTTCTCTCCTCATTCAGGATTAGAGTTGCCTCTCCACTTGCCCTACTCTTTTGTTTCTAGTTTTACTTTGTTTAGATAAGTAACAGGCAACTGAACAGACTTTGAAAAAAATGTGAGGGACCCTAGTCTCTTGTACCTTCTCTGTTAAAAACAGGTTCACCCATTTCAAAATGGGCCATCTTGAGGACCAGGATGGGATATTTAGATTCATGGCTGCAAACTACAGATTCTGCACCTGGTATTTCTAACCAAGTTATGAACACTGGCTATATTTTTGCATGTATGGTAAAGGGTTTAAAGGGAAAGAGGGCAGGGTAACCAGAGAAAAAAAAGTGAGGCTTGTCTTCTAAGCTGAATTCAAGTTCCAGAGTTGTTGTGGGAAAAGCAGGAAAAGATGAGGCACTACCTAGACACTGGGTACCCAGGGCAGCTTATTCCTACGACTGAGCAGTTAATAAATGGCGAACATCTGAATGCAGGGATACAGTCTGTGTCACAGTTTTTAATAAAACTGCCTCTTCTGTGGTGCTTCGTAGATGCTGAGTCATCAAGCCAGGGATCGGGCAGCCAAGGGTCCCACTTCTAAGCACACTGGCTCTTGGGAGGGCTCTACCCAATCTGGATCTGCCCTGAATACATGGTGAGGAGCAGCATGATCGTGAATCCAGTCAAGAGGCCCAGGTTCTGGATGGCAAAGGAGACCAAGACACTGCCCTTCCTCTCATCTTCTTGGCTGACCTCGTTCATCTCAGGGAACTGAGAAAGAATAATAACAAGAGCTATAAATCTTTTCTTCACCTTGTAAGTCCAGGACAAAGTCAGTGATACACACACACACACACACACACAAAACAACTTTTAAAGAAAAGAGCAACTACTCTTTTCCTCAAGGTGGGTACCACCATTTTATCTGGGTAATGCTACAGATCTGCGTGGCACTGGATGTGTTTGAGTCTAACAATGTTTGCTATTTAGCCCAAAGTATTTCGGGATGCTAACCTCAAGGTCAGCAGTTTGAAACTACCAGCTGTTCCGCGGGAGAAAGATGAGGCTTTCTGCTCCCTTAAAGATTTATAGCCTCGGAAACCCTGGGCAGGGTTACTATGAGTAGGAACCATCTCCACGGTACATCACAACAACGATTATTTTAACATGTTGTCTATTTTTAAACTTTTTATTGGAAACTAGGTGAGTGTTAGCAGAGCAGATCATGTTTGTATTTGGCACATTCACACACAGTTTGTTTCATCTCATTGACTGCAATCCTCTTAACATAACATCACTCATCCCACTTCTTCCCTGTGTTGCTCATTTCCAGTCCTCCCTCGTTCCCAACTCATCTGAACTTTGTTCTTGGGGAAATGCTGCCCTTTTGATCCCAAATGGTTGATTATTCTAAGGTGTGCATAATTCACTAGTTCTACTGTTCCCCTTATAGACCTATTTTTTGGCTGAAAATTGAGCCACAGAGTAAGGTTAGTTCCAGATCTGAAGGGAGACCAAGGGCCATAGTCTTGGGGTTCCAGTCTCTATTCTAACAGCAAAAGCCTAGTCTTTTTCATAGTTTTTAGTTTTGTTCCACATTTCTCTATCCAGGACCTTTGAATGTGATCCCTTTCAGAAGTTGGGAGTGTTAGCCAGGTACCACCTCGTTCTTCTGGTCTCAAGGTCATGGAGGTTGATGTTCATGTGGTCCACTAGCCCACTGGACTGTTTCCATGTGTCTTTAATTTTCATCACACTTCTTTCTCAACAGGAGAGACCAATACTTGTACCTTAGATGGCCACTCAGGAGCTTTTTTGACCCCAGCTGCTACTCACCAAAGCAGTATGTAGACTGTCGTCTACATTCTGGACTGATTTATGCCAATTGATCACGGTATCCCCTGACACTATGGCTGTGAGCCCCCAGGCTCCTAGCTGTGTTTAGTTGCTGGTCAAAATTAATATACTATGAGAAAAATAAATTTTTCATTGTGAAATTTAAAGCAACTCTGTAAGAGCAGAGAGAACATGGTTGCAAGTCAAGGTCTCCTGTTTCTGGAAACAGGGAACCAGGTCAGGCTGGTGACAACACTGAAATGTTCCAATTCAAGCAAAATATATCCTAACCATGAGGCAGGCTTGGCCAGGCAGGAGAAAATCTAAAATGCGTCCATGGGTTAAGGTTACATTGGTCAGTATTCGGATCCAAAACACTATTTTCAAAGGATATGAAAAAAAGCATTCATGTAAACATGCCACGGGAAGAAACAAGGAAAATAATCAACCTCATTATTTTTATTTAAAATAAAATGAATAGCCCAGGTATTACACTAGCAAATTCAAAGCTACTGCAAAGTTAGCAGTCACACTTTCAAATACTACTAATAATGTAAACAGCAGTACAGTCTTTGAAAAGGATAAAATGTAAAAGGTTAAGCTCTTTCAGAAAAGCAATTTGGCAGTCCATACTAGAACCCTAAAACCATGTATTCCTTTTGAGTCAGCAATTCTATTTCTGGGATTAAGATTTATCTTATCATCAAGTAAGATGGTCATTGAAAAGGATGTTTTCAAAGACTATGTGAGATGGAAAATGCTTATATTAGGTTAAAAAAAAAAGAAATCAGGACATAAAAACAAATATTTGGTGATCTATGCTAATATATCACTTGTAAAATGTAATGTTCTCACCTGCCAAAAACTCATGTCCCTCCCAAAACCACTGAATTGTATACTTTAAATAGTATATGAATGACATTTCAATAAAACTATTATCAAAAGCAAACAAAAAAATCTAATGTTCTGTAAGCAATTTCCCACCCAACAAATTATCTGGTCCAGTTTTGCCTACATGGCATGAACTATGAAACACTTACCATATCAGCCAGGGCAATATATAAGAACATTCCTCCAGCCAGTGCAAAGATCCAATTGGCAGAGAAGTGACTACCAGCCAGGATCCCAAATGCCAGGCCCAAGTAACAACAGCAGGCAGAAAGGAAGTTGAAAAAGAGAGCTTGCTGGATACTCATCCCAGCATTGAGCAGGATTACAAAGTCTCCTATAGTGAGAAAACAAGACGGGAAGGGATGTTGGAAGAAGACTCATACAAGTACATAGGAGACAGAGGATGCTGATTAGGACTGACTACACACACTACGGATAAAGTCTTGGTTAGAAAAAATCAAGACAGCCACAGATTTGAGATTGTGACAAGACTAAGTCCCCTTCATTTTAAATTCAGGAGTTGTCTCCATAGGGAAATGTGGCCATGGACTTCTAGACTGTTGTTGTGGTTGAATACAACTGAGTTGTATAGGGTTTCCAAGGAGCGTTTGAACTACCAACCATGTGGTTAGCAGTCCAGTGCAGTGCCACACCAGGACTCCAGAATTCCAGACTAGCAGGTAACAATAATTCAGAGGATTTTTTAAACAGATAACCAATTAACAATGGCCTAATTTCTCTTTTGATGGATGGCAAACTAGAAGGTGCTCTTTTTGTCAGAACTACATTGAATAGTAACTTTTAGTGATGAAACTAAGACTGAGAAAAGTTAAGTAATTTGTACCAAGTCACAAGCCAAAAAATAGCAAAACCAGGATTGAACCTTAAGTCCAAAGTCCCAGGGGCGACTGTGTTCATTAATTTTAACAGGCATTTGGAAACAGATTATTGTTGTTGTTATGTGCTGTGGAGTCGGTTCCGACTCATAGCGACCCTACACAGGGTTTCCGAGGCTGTAAATCTTTATGGGAGCAGACTGCCTCATCTTTCTCCAGCGGAACCGCTGGTAGTTTCGAACTGCTGACCTTGTGGCTGGCAGCCCGATTCGTAACCACTACGCTACCAGAGCAGATTAGCAAGAAATAATCTGTATGAAGGATGTACACCAAAACTGACGTAACCAAAGTGGAACAGGGGGATACACACTTACCCAGCTCATGTGGAAATTCCTCACAGAGGATTGCCACTGAGGTGCTGATGCCTTGGAAAACAGACACGGTGAAGGAGGCACCAATGGCCAGGCCATCAATGAAATTGTGGAGGCCATCGCTCAGGGTGATCATCCATGCCAAAGTGCCAATATCAGAGTAGCGGACACCTTTTAGCCAGTAACATGCGCTCTGGGAAGCCTGCAGGTCCTACAGGAAAACGTACCCCATGTCAAAAGGAGAACCACAAACCTTCAAGGTAGGCCCAGGTCATCAAGTCACCTATTACTGCCCTCAAGGGCTCCCAGCAAGCAGCTGATAGACTACTGACCTGGACAGAGAGTGAGCCCACAATGACTTTCTCATCCATCACGGGGGTCTTGCCATCCAACTCGCTGTCCCGGTGTTGAGGAATCATGTGGTCCAGATCCCCATTCTGCAACTTCTCTGTCACACCCTCTTCCTGGTCCTTCTTAGAAGGAAGAGTCTCAGAGGCATAATGGCTATGTCCATGATGCTGGAGGGATGACAGGGTGGGGATGGGGGGGTTGTCAGCATGCACTCAAAAAACCATTAACCTTACAGAGTTCCTACTCTTATTCATTCCTGCCATTAAAGAAAATAAGACCAGTATCACATGGAACCACAGTTGTCTTACAGAGCTGTGCCAAGTGTGAATGTAGGATTTGGGGTTAAATGTATCTCACAGTAGTTGTCTTAACAGGGTAAACCCTAATTCCGGTGACACTGCTACTATACAAGAGCTCCTCCTATGTAGTGGTTAATTTAATTCAGTTTAGCACATAACTACACACCAAGTACTAAAGATATATTTTGGGGACTGCACTATAATAATTGGGAAGTGTGGTGGTTCTGTAGGATAAACACTGGACTATGAACACAACGGTGGCGGTTGGAACCCACCAGCTGCTCTGAAGGACATAAGTGTGGTTTTTTGCACCCGCAAAGATAAAATGATTGGGGAGTAGTGATAGAATCTTCACTTCTATCTGTGAGACCTGGGTTCAAACCCCAGCCAATGTATCTTTTACACAGCCACCCCCTGTCTTATTAGTGGGGGTTTGTGTGTTGTTATGATGCAAATCAGGTTTCTGTGGTGCTTATGGACTGACTAGGAAGAAAGGCCTGGTGATCTATTTCCAAAAACCAGCCACCAATGAAAATCCTAAGGGTCCCAACAGTCCAATCTACAACTGATCACAGGGATGATGGTGCAGGACCAGGTAGACGCTCTTCATCCAGTTGTACATGGGGTTGTTATGAGTCTGGACCTGACTGGATGGCAGTTAACAACAACTACTACAACAATCAATCTCATTTTTGTTTTTTGCTGTCAAGACTTCATCACATATATGATAAATGCCCTAATTAAGCCCTGCCCTCTTCTTCTAAAGCTAGAAATAGATCAAGGAAATAATTTACAATAAGGCAATGAGGATAACCTGTTATTTAGTAAAAAGTGAACTGGCTCTTATCTTGTGAAGTGAAATGAGACTTTTGTGGTTTTCAATCCATGATGGCAGGATGGCATATTTACTCACTGTTTAACAGTGTTGAGGTAATGCTACTATCAAACATAAAACAATTTTGGAGACGAGTATTTTCCCTAGAAGAGTTTCCTTGACCAATAATGAAGTCTCACCTCATTTTTCTGTTTAAGAAGCATCTTCAAGATCTTCTCTGTGAAAAAGAAGAGATAAAAGCCCCCAAACACCACTGCAGACTTCGAGACATAATAATTTTCTATAGGGTTGAAACCAAAAGCCTGTGGACCCAGGAGAACAGAATGAGTTTAAGACAACAAAAATCTTCGCTACTTCCCTCTTAACCACTTCCTTGAGTTGAGGGGAGACCATGCTGCACAAACTCTTCCATCTAATTCTCTTTCCAGAAAAATCTTATCTTTGTCTCTCTAATGTGTCATCATCAGACTGGTAAGATTCTCTCTAGCTAACTTTCTGATATAAAATTCCATGTTTAAGGAGAAGGTAAGTTTGTTTTCATCTCTCTAGTGTCCCAGGCTGATCTGCCTGTAAACATAACGGAAGATGGTATAATTATATTTTCTAAAATGGGAAATGCATCCTTCAATTAAACAGTAAGAATTTCGGTATCTTCCTGACCACAGAACATCCAGTGATCATAAAGTCAAGAAAGCAGACTATATTATTGCATATGTCTTAGCTGTGTGTGTGGTTTTTTTTTTTTTTTTTTTTTTTGTGTGTGTGTGTGTATGAAAACTTATTCAGAGGGTTGGGTGGGAGGAGAATCATTGAAACACAACAAAAGTAGAAATCCTGAGTTGTGGTAGCTCAGGAATCTGTCAAATGACCTGCACTCAGTTTTCCGACAGGCAAAGTAACTTGAAAAAAAACTACAGTCTTCTCATGAAGAGATCAAGATAATAGTAATTGAAGTACTAGACTGCTTAAAAATTGTTTTCCTTTTTGGTTCCAGTAGACAAAATACAATTACTACCCCTTACTGTAGTAAAGGAGTCCTGGTGTGGCGCTGTGGGTTAATGTGCCAGACTGCAAAGTTGTTTGAACTGCAAGATCGGTGGTTCAAGCTCACCAGCTGCTCCTTGGAAACCCTATACAGGGTTGCTATGGGTTGATAGTTTTCTAGAAATTACTACCCGTACTATAGTTTTTAAGTTCCTAGTATGGCACTGTTGGATAAGCACTAGATTGTGAACCAAAAGGTTGACAGTTCAAACCTACCAGCTGTTTCTTGGAAACCCTACACAGGGTCGCTATGAGTCAGAACTGATTCAATAGCACTTAATAACACTAGTTTTGGAGTCCTGGTGTGGTACTGTAGGATAAGCACTGGACTGCTAACCAAAAGGTTGCCAGTTCACACTTACCAGTCACTATGGGTCCATATGGGTCAGAACTGCCTCAACAGCACTTAGCAAAAACAATGACTATCATTTTACTGTAGGATAAGCACTGCATTGCTAACTACAAGATTAGTGGTTCAAAATTATACCCCATTCCTTGGAAACCCTATATAGAGTCACTATGAATCAGAATTAACTCTATGGCACTTAACAACAACAGCAATGCCATAGTTTTCTGGAATCCCTAGGTGGTATAAATGGTTAATGAACTCAGCTGCTAGCTGACAGGTTGGAAGTTTGAGTCCATCTAGATGTGCCTTGGAAGAAAGGCCTGGTGATCTACTTTACAAAAAAAAAAAAAAAGCTATTGAAAACTCTATGGAACACAGTTCTACTCTAACATACATGAAAACAGGCAACTAAGAGCTCTCTACAAAAAGCCACGAAGGATGGCAATGTGTAAAATTACAGCTTTAGGGGTTATAAAACTAGATTCTTGTGCAGGTCTCGACTCATCTTATCTGTTAAATGAGTAAAATATTATTTGTTCTACTGATGTCAGAATTGATCACAATAGCATTTCAGGAAATACAAAGTATTCTATAAGAAGCATGTGATGTCATCTTTTGGCTTCAATTACAGCTATGTTCAGGCCTGTCAGACCACCTACAATGAAATATCATCTCATGCTTACTATAACTTCAAAAGCCTAAAGCTGTGGTTATTCAGCTGATTCCAACTCAAAGCAACACAAGAGGACAGTGTACAACTGCCCCATAGTGTCTCCAAGGCTGTTATCTTTAAAGGAGCGGATCGCCAAATCTTTTCATAGCGCTGCTAGAGGGTTCCAACCACCAACTTTTCAGTTAGCATTTGAGTGCTTAATCACAGTGCCATCAGGGTTCCTATTTTTGTAATGAGCAAGTTTAGAGATATTGCATTAAACCAGAGGAAACAATTCAAAGGCAGATGACCAACTTGATAAATACTAAGTTCCTTCTGTTTTGTGGAGAATTCTCTCACTGACTTTTGCAGTGGGGCAAAGGGTCAACATATGTGGACTCAGACCATTTTATTTGGATTACCTTTGCCCCAAACTCCTGAGGAAAACTGTCTGATTGACACCTACAGATTTTGTTGATGTGTTTTATACTTTTCTGTGTCCGAAGCTCCAAATAGGAGCCAAAGAGTAATCAAGTATACTATGTTTCTTCACTCAACTGTCATAGTACTTAGTAGGCCTCAAGGAGTCTTACTGTGTAGCTGTAGGATCAGCACTGGGTTGCTAATTGCAAGGTTAGTGGTTGAAACCCAGTAGTCATTCCAAGGGTGTTTTCTCAGAAACCCTATACAGTTGTTAAGTGCAGTTACAGGCATCAAAGGTGCTAAGTGTTTTGTAAAATTTCACTTATTTAATCCTCACAAGGAGTCCTGATATGGCACTAAAGGAGAATGCACTGGGGACCACAAGGTCGGTTTGAACAGCAAGGCTGGCAGCCACTCCTAGGAAACCCTATACAGGGTTGCTATGAGTCGGAATCGACTCGACAGCACTTAACAAAAACAACAATCCTCACAAGGAGCTCAGTGGCTCTGTAGATGAGTACTGGATAATGAACCACAAGGTTGGCGGTTCAAACTCACTACCAGCTCCACAGAAAAAAGATGAGGTTTTCTGTTCCCGCAAAGATTCACAGTCTCAGAAACCCTATACTGGGTTGCTATGAGTCAGAACCGACTGACGGCACTTAACAACAACAATCCTCACAATAAGGTCGGTCCTCTTATTTCTTCCATTTTACATATGAGGAAACAGAAGTGCAGAGAGGTTAAGTGACTTGCCCAAGGGCATAGAATGTGTACACGGGGAAGTTGGGATTTGAACTCAGGCTGCCTGGTGTGTAGTCTATACTCTCCAGCCTACACTATGCTGCCTCTTCTAGCTTGTGCCTAGGCCTACCGTCACTTTTCAAAACGGAAGGACCCCCAGGTCTCCTCTCTATGCCTTCCATTTAAATGGAGGGTCCTCCCACTGTCCCCCCAGGAGACAGGCCATGCTCCTGTGTGACAAAGCCCTGGCTTGTCATACCTCGGGGATGAGCTGGAAGAGGGCATTGGAGTAGAGGGTTCCAATCGCCAGAGCTATGAAGTAGAGCAGCAGCCTCTTGTAAAAAGTCTTCTTCATGAAGGGTACCACGCTGGCCCCCATGAGGGAGCAGAGGGAGATGACGGTCACACAGAGAAGACCGTATCCCCACACTGCCATGGTGAGGGAGGGCCAGCCCCACCCAGGACAGGGAGAAGGGCAGATGCCCCATTGTGGAAGGGGCGGGGAGGCAATAAGGAAAATTATGGGTGGATATTAACAAAGTAAACAAAACAGGAAAGTCAGAAAGAGACAAGTAGGGAGGGAGAGAGAAACAGAAAATTTGTTAGTGATTCAAGTCTGATGAAATTTTCTTCAATCAGTTCAGAAGAAATGAAGAGGAACTCAAGGTAGCCTTGGATCTCTGTGGCTCCTGTCCCTGTGGTGGCCCAAGTCACACTTGCCCGCTGGGCGGTGAGCGGCACACACCTGAGATGTACTCAGGGCCATTACTAGGTTGTCCATGACAGACTGGACTTGAGTGCTTGCTTCAGTAGGAAGCAAGAGCCATAGAAAGCGACTGATCACGATGCTGTGTTTGTTTTGTACATCCAGTCTGGATCACCTGTGCACATGTGACAGGACCTGGCATTGGTTTGGTTTGTGCAAAAATACAACAGGGTCAAATGTGCAGGGCAGATGTGTAGGAAATGAGTTAAGAATCAACTCCCACAAAATTCAGTTTATTAATTTCTCAAGTGTGTTTGGTTTCAATTTGCTTTGAGAAGGACCCTAAAGCATAGAGAACCACAGAGTTCCAGGATCACCAAGTCACAAAAGCATTTCCTCTTGCGATTTCCAGTGCCGCACACTCTGGGCTTCAAGTACAGGCCCAGCCAAGGCAGGACAGAGCTGGGCGGAGGAGATGAGACATTCCTACAGAGGTGGAGTAGGAACAATGATTTAACGTCCATTCAAATAGGCAACCAGGTGTTTCAATTCAAGTCTTTAAAAAATTAATCAATGATATCTTTATTTCTGGAGCTGAAAAAATAGCCCAAGATGAGGCCTCCCTTGAGAAGTGTTTAGTTGATTTCTGGGAATTTTAAGAGAGCATCGAGGTGACAAATATTAAATCCAATTTTTTCTTCTATTATGGTGGAGGATGAGGGAAGGCACGGGAATCCTCCCACTACTATTTCTGGATTTGAGTTTTATGACTGGGACAGGCTGGGAAGGAATCTTTATAAAATGACCCCAGCTGAAATTGTATGTGCATCCCTACCTGATCAGAGACGGTAGGCTATCAGCTTGGGTCTTATTTTTATAGCTCCTCGGTGACAATTCCAAACAAAAATGATAAATATATCCAAACAGTCAAGTAAGGGTACCAGGAAGTCAGACCTATCAGAATGAGGTCAAGATGCAAGGTATGAAGGATTGAGCACCCTTTTCTTTCATTTTGCATTTTAAAATTTATTTGGTTAAATTTTTACATAGTCTTTATTCTGTGTGTGACTTTTATATCACAAATTAATGGCTAGTTAAAAAAAAAAAAAAAAAAAAGGAATCGCTTAAGTTAAGGACACTTAATCTCCTCCCATCAATTTTGGTAACCTGATCCCAGATGAACAATCTGTTAGTGGCCGCACCTGACCACTGCTGGGGTTTCTAGTTACAACAGGGAGGCTGGTATAGTACACCAAGGACATGGAGAACATCTATGAGGTACAGCTTTCCTCCCAACCCTTAAAACAAGGCTTAAGGCAAGGGGGCAGGAAGGCTGGAGGTTCCCAACAGGGAGGGCAAATGCTAAGAGCCTTGCATCTGACACCACCTGAAGAGGCCAGAGGCAAACCTGAGTACCTCAAGCAAGGAGTGAGAGAAGGCCCTTGAGATCCAAAAGTAGAAGTCAGTTGTGTCTCATGATGTGAGGGATAAATTAATTTCTCAAGTGGAAGTCGGTGCCTTAGAATACAGGGAAACATCAGCCAGAGGAAGGCTCGGCTGCGACGCTCAAGGGAAAGAGGGCACGCAAAAGAGGAGGATTTGCGTGTTTCTGTTCTACTGCACCTCAGGGATCAGCTGGAAGAGCGCGTTAGAGAACAGCGTTCCAATGGACAGGGCGATGAAGTAAGTGAGCACGCGGCTGAAAAACGCTTTCTCAGTGCAGGGCAGGACGAGAACTCCCAGGAGAGAGGCCAGGTTAATCAGGGACACACTGAGGAAACCAAAGCCCCACACTGTGGAGGAACAAGAACAGACGAGGGCCTCCATTACTGAGGGTAGGAGCACCCCTGGTGCTGGGGCGTGCTCAATCCAGATCAGGTATGGTGGAGGGCATGCAGAGATCAACCAGCCCTCCAGCAAATACTTATTGGGTCCATCTTCTACTAGGTGCTGTGGACAAGTCTGAGAAAAAGATATCAAAGCTGCTACCAAAAAGCAGCTTACTTTTTAGATTGAGAGACGGATGACAACGTGGACTATTAAATACCATATGCTTTAAATAACCAGAGCAGAGAGCACACAGCAGTCCCACAGGATTTTAGAAGGATAACAGGGGACCTTAAAAATCTCCCATACTCACAAACCTGGGTTAACCCAGTGTGGCTGGGGCAGAGCTAGAAGAGTGGGCAGTGGAGGAAGAAGTGGACCAAGGGCTGACTCTGCAGGAACTTACATGTTACACTAAAAAATGAAAACAAAACAAAGAATTAAAAGTACAACACAAAAAAACCAGGACTTGTCACTCTGCCACCCACAGCATGCGTTAATGAAAACCAAAAAAGAAAAACGGACTTTAAAAAGCACTCACATGCCTGGTCCAAAAGTCCCACACTCTGAACAGTTACTAGTCACTCCACCCAAGAGTCTGGCTATGTGCTAGACCAGTTTTGTGAGTGAAAAAAATGTTTTTAGGTACAGTCGTTACTTTCATTCTTCCCTTCTGACGTGGATAACCTGATTCTGGGTTAAGTTTTCAAGGGAGGCAAATGATCTGGCCCTTCCCTCTGCTCCCAGTTTACCTTCCAGGGAGCTTGGCTTCCCCTCTTCCGTCTGCTCATTCTCCTCATTTTCCTGGTTCTCAGAGGTGCAGGCTTTGGAATCCAGCTGCTGGAGAATGGTGGGGCAGAACTCCTGGAACTCACTCCTCCCAATCCGTGACTGGTTGGTAAGGTTGTGGGCAGCAAAGAGGCCTCCAGAACTGAAGCACTGAAACCAAGTGGGGAAGGGATGGGAGAAGGTACAAAGCCTCTTAGAATCCAAAAGTTACACCCTGCCCCTCAGCAGAAACTGACTCAGTTTTCCAAGAGGAAAAGGAGAAAACACACATTTGTGAATTTTAGGGAACTGGGAAGCTAACCTCTAGATATGACAGCAAAGTAGTCCCTAACCTTTGATAAACTGGTAAGAAATGTTAGATAAAGATCAGCGCACCCACCTGTAAATGGTGGCCTGGGAAGTTTGGGGAACAACTAAATTCCAATTGTTGTGACCATGGTATGGTTTCTACAAAGCTTCATTCAGATATCAAATCTGGCTACATATCACCATAGCCCAGGGAGCCATTATATTAAAATGCAGATTCTAGATACTTCTCTAGAGTTATTCAATACTGGTATCCATAGGGGTGGGGTACCTTGCAAACTGTTGTAGCACCCCATCAAACCAGTATGTGGAGATCATATGCTGACAGATGTTAACTAGGTACACTGATTTCGACACATGGCAAACCCATGTGTTAAGAGTGTTAGATCTGTGCTCCACAAGGTTTTCTTGCTTGTAAACTTTGTAGACTTAGATTGCCCAAGCCTTTTTTCCATGGTGCTCTTGGGTGGGTTCAAACCACCAACCTTTAGGCTAGTGGTAAAGCACAAACTATTTGAGCTACCCAGGGACCCTGACAGAGGACAGAGAAAGAAAGTCTAAAGATTCAAACTCTGCCAAGGGGCAAGCAGAGGTAGGTCAACGCACATGAGCACTCCAGTACCCTAGGGAGGCAACAGGTAAGTGGTTTTCATTCCTATGAAACATTGTAGTGCTACCATCTTTCAAAGTCACTCTTCCGGTGTGCTGAGACAAAGTGTTTCTAGGCCTATAAAGCTGAGGGTTCAGCTCTGAGTATCACCTTGGAAGCAACTGGAGCCTGGATGCAGCACCCTCTAGTGGCACAGTTAGGTACTGTTCCAGCTCACACTCCCTCTTCTGCATCTTACAGTTACTGTACAGTCCACAAAATTTACCACTTCATTTCCCTACTAGCTATCTACCGACTCCATGGTACTTAACAACAACAACAACATCTTTGTTCTGTGTTGGTAAAAAGTAAACTCAGGTATTACTCATTTTGCTCTATTTCTTATAATACTCAGCACAGAGAACATAGGTAATGTAAAGACTACTTGTTGTTGTTAAGTGCCTTCGAGTCGGAGCCGACCCATAGCGACCCTGTACAGGGTTTCCGAGGGTGTAAATCTTTACGGGAGTAGAAAGCCTCATCTTTCTCCCGCGGAGCGGCTGCTAGTTGATTTATATTTGGCTGCCACAGAAACCTCACATTCTGAACAGCTAAAATGATATGGAAGAACAAACACAGAATCAGGAGCCAAAAGACCTGAGTTCTAGACTTGGTCCTACTAGTAATTCACTGTGTCCAGGACTCTCTATAAAATAAAGATCATCCCACCTGCATCTGGAAGTACTAAGAGGTACACAGAGGATATTGTTCAATGTGCTTTGTAAACGGTAAACTCTGTATTAGAAATGCTAACTATTCTGAAAGCTGCAGCTTCTGAGAGGTTCCAGGTGATCCAGGTGCAGTTCTGAGGAAGAGTCTGGAGGGCTGAGCACCCCCACTTCATTACCGTCCTTTGCTAAGATGTTCAAAACACCATGCAAGTGGTCTAGAGGAGACTTTGTTGATTCAGACAGGGGATGGAAAAAAGTAGGCCTACCTGCTGTCTTAACAAGATTTGCCCAAAGAAATCTTGGTAGTGCAACAACCAACTGTGCTACTGTTAATTGAAAGGGTGGTAGTTCATACCCACTCAGCAGCTCCATGGCAGAAAGACTTGCTCCGGGAAAGAGTACAGCCAAGAAAACCACACTGGGCAGTTCTACTCTGTCACATGGGGTTGCCATGAGTTGAAAACCAACAAAAAGCTTCTACCAAGTTGCTCAGCTACCCTGTGAGCTCCAAGAAAGCTGGGGCAGTGCCATGCAGAGATGGGGCCCTTACCCTTGAAAGGTTCCTCTGCTCCTGTTCAGGCTGAGTGATGTTCTCCCGGCCCACTCCCACATCTAGGTGGTTGAGTAGGGCTTTCAGCTGCTGTAGAGTGAGGCTGTCCCCCTCACCATAACGATGCATGAGGTCCTGCAGGAAAGAGGCAGCACTGATGGCTGGCGTCTCCTCGGATGAAGCGTGAGCCTCAGGGTTTGTTCTCCATAAGCCGAGCAGAGTCAGCAGGAAGCAGCCATGGAAGTGTAGGCACAGCAGCTTCATGGTGACCAAATAAGCCTGCAAGAAAACAAGCCGGGTGGAGGTGAGGCTTTAAGGAAACCTCTCTCTTCTCCCACTTTTCCTGTCAGCCAACCACAGATTAGACCTTTGGGCTACAGCCCACTGATTCATTCCTCTTCCTCAGATTCTGAATCCAGTAAGTAGCAAAGTCTCCCTTGAAACAAATCTAGTATTTACTCTTGTAATTCCAATTCCTTCTGCCTAGCTTTTGAGCAGAATAAAAATAGTAAAATAACAAACTTAACAGGTCTGACTAGATGAAATTTAAAAATTAAAAACAAAAACAAAAAAACAACAGAGACTTCCAGCAAGATGGTAGATGAGGCAGACATACTACACGGACCCTGTACAACAAAGATATGAAAGACCAAACGAACAGACACAGATGAAAATACTGGAACCCTGAACTTGGGTGGAAAGATTAGAAAAGTGGATTGAATGCTTGCTGGGAGGAGAAGCTAAACAGGGATGGTGAGAAATGGATACTGATTGGTGAATGGTTGGTTTTGCAGCAAGACCATCTTGAACTTTCCTGAGCAGCTCTGGTGAAAGAAGGTGGCCTGGCAGAGCAGATTCATACAGGTGCCGGGAAAGGTGAGATTCCTTCATTTCCTCCACCCTCCTCTGGTGATCAGAGGTGCAGCTACCCTCTTTGCAAACCCTGCTCTCTGGAAATTTAGATCTGTGAGGTATAATGAACCATGCCAATGTGAGACACGGGGGCCAAGTGTGCCACTTTGGTGCCTGGATTCAGGTGGACTCAGCCCCAGACCTAAGAACCTGCTGACCACAAGACCAGCAGCAGTCAAGCAGAAACTCTCATAACCAGCTTCCCTGCCCTCAACTCCATCAAGGGCCTCCAGGAACTATTTTCGGATTGAAGGCCATGAACATAGATAACACCTATAATTGTAAGAACTCCACCAAGGTTCAGGAACACCATTGACAGAGCCCTCCCACACATATCTTATAAGCTCATTGGCTGGCCTGAGCCTCCCAACTGCACTCATATTGTTTCTAATCTTGCTTCCTCGTTTTTTGTTTTGTTTGTTTGTTAATGCTTTCTTCTCCTTCTCTTTTCAGTCTCTTGAATTTTATCCTTTCCATCTCCGCTTTTCCTTTCTTCTTTTCTTCAGTTTCTCATTTCCCCTCTTCTCTTTTTTTTTTTCTTAAATGTTTGATTGTGAATTATGTGATAGTTTACATGGGAGAACATTAGTTTTACATTCATTCTATCGTGTATCATCTCATTGCCATGGTTACAATCCCCTCCATGCAATCCTTCCCCCTTACCCCCCAGATCTTCAGCACACAGTCACTCTCCCTCTCTGGATCTAAAGTTTCTAGCTGCTCCATTGCTCCATGTCATCATCTCTGGCTCCATTTCAGGCATCACTGCTTCTCTGGGTAGGATCCCGATCTCTGCTCTTCTCCATTGATGGTCCTAGGGACCTCCGCTCCTAGACTGAAAAGTTAATCACTCCCCTCCTTGCTATAAAACGTCTACCTTCACATTTGTCATTTCCCCTCTTCTCTTGATTCCTTTTGATCTTTCTTTACTACTCTTTACTCTCTTTTTTCATCTACTCTCCTCTCCATAGTCTTTAAGCGACTGATAAAAAATTTCTTCCTTTTATTTTCTCTTCTATAGCTCCGGTTTTCCTGTCTTTTTTCTCTTTTTAGTTGTTACATTCTCTTTTTCGGTTGCTCCCTGTTTTTATTTATTTTTTCTCCTTTATTATTATCACTTTTCATTGTTGGCTGCTTGTTTGTTTACTCTGTTTTGTTTTCGTGTGTGTGTGGGGGGGGGAGGGGGGTGCTTCTCCTCTTTCTCACCAGACAGAGTCAACAACCATGCTAGTACAGCCCAGCTACAACCATACCTTAGATACAGCTCCACCCACCGGACAAGAGCCAATACCAGCTCCTATACCACCTGATGAATGATAGACAGTAAACTTACCGTAAACAGTGAACAGAGTATAGCACACATGCTTCCATTATCTAACGACACTCACAGGAGACAGCTGGTGAGAGCATAAGGTTGCTAACAACAACAACAATGGATGGGAAGACTTAAAAATGTGAAAATGTCAACACCCCCCAAAACAATCTACAGATAAAATGCTATCCCAGCATCATTCTTTAAAAAAATAGAAAAACTAATCACTAAGTTTATATGGAAAGGAAAGAGAACCTAGATAAGCAAAGCATTATAAAAAAGAACAAAGTAGGAGGCCTCTTACTTTCCAATCACAAAACCTACTACACAGCCTCAGTATCTAAAACAACTGGGTAACTGATCAATGGAACAGAATTGAGAATCCAGAAGTAAATGCATCCATCTACAGTCAGTTGATCTTCCACAAGGAGCCAAAATGCATTAAATGGGGAAGAGAGTTTCTTCCACAAATGGTACTGTCAAAATTGGAAATCCATTTGCAGAAAAACAAGACCCATATCTTACACCAAATACAAAAACGAACTCAATGTGGATTAAACACCTAAATGTAAACCGTAGAAGTATAAAAATCATCAATGAAAAACTAGGGACAAATTAAGGGCACTGATACAGGGCAAAAATACACTATTAAACATAACTGAAAATACACAAACAGAAGAAAACAAAATAGAAGCCTGAGACCTCCCATAAATTAGACACTGAAGTACATCAAAAAATTTCATCAAAAGAGTAAAAAAGAGAACCCACAGACTGGGCAAAAATATTAGGCAACAACATATCAAACTACTCTCCAAAATTTACAGAGCATTTCAACGCCTCAACAAGAAGACAAATAATCCAATTACAAAATGGGCAGAGGACATCAACAGACACTTCACCAAAGAAGACATTCAGGCAGCTCACTAACACAGGAAGAAATGCTCATGATCATTACTCATTGGAGAGATGCAAATCAAAACAATGACATAACATCTCATACTACCATTTAATAGCAAAGGTAAAAACAAAACAGAAAACAACAAATGCTGGCCAGGGTGTGGAGAGACTGGTACCATTCAACACTGCTGGTGGTACTGTAGAATAGTTCAACCACTGTGGAAAACAGTATGGCGCTTTCTCAAAAAGCTGGAAATAGAAATACTATATAACCAAGCAACCCATCTACTTGGCACATATCCTCAAGACATTAGAGCTGTCATATGACTAGATATATGCCTACCATGTACTAATCACACTAATCACACTAGCAAAAAGATGGAGACATCCTAAATGTTTATCAACAGAAGAATGGCTAAGCAAACGTTGGTGCACATACACAATGCAATATTATGCAACACTGAAGAGTAACAAGCAACCTGGAGGACATTATGCTGAGTGAAATCAGTCAATCACAAAGGGACAAATATATTATGAGATGATGGTTGTAAAAAGTGAAGAAGAGGTTTTCTTGATAAAAGAAACATTTTGACAGTCATAGCGGGAAGGAGGGAGTGGATTATTCACATTTTAGAAGGTAGACACATGTCAACATGGGTGTTGTTGTTGTTGTTATGTGCCGTGGAGTCAGTTCCTACTCATAGCGACCCTGTACAGGGTTTCTGAGGCTCTAAATCTTTACGGGAGCAGAAAGTCTCATCTTTCTCCAGCGGAACAGCTGGTAGTTTCAAACTGCTGACTTTAAGGTTCACAGCCCGATTCGTAACCACTACGCTACCAGAGCTCCTTCAACGTGGGTGATGGGGCAACAATATACATGAGGGAGGCTAGGTTGGCAGAGGAAAGTTGAAGGTAGTGGGAGACACAGGGAGGAATGCAAAAGTTATAGTGAACAGAGGAAATACTGTTAACTGTTGGTACACAGAGGGGGACTGCAATGATTGTAATGAAGCAAAGTATATGATTTGTTGAATGTAAAACTGATGATCTGCTATATAAACCTTTCAACTCACAAAAGTTAAAAAAAAAAAAAAATCCATGTGGTATAATACATCACGATTGGTTGGTAAGGGAGTCGCTAAGTGAGACAAACTGATATAGAGGTCAAAACACAGCAACCATCATGAGGATGGTGCAGGATGAGGCAAGGTTCTGTTTTGTTATACAAAAGGTTGCCTGAGTTGGAACCAACTCAATGGCAACAAGCAACAAAGGTAGTAGGATGATGATGATGGTTTTTCTTTTGTTAATACTTTCCCTGAGAATGGTGTTATTGTTAAGTGATGTTGAGTAGATTCTGACTCATAGTGATCCTGTGTAGTGGCTGGTGGGTTTGAACTGCCAACCTGCAGGTTAGCAGTTCAGTGCTTATCCTAATCCTACAGTGTTACACCAGTACTGTTATATTTTAAGTAGTAAAAGAAATAAAGAGGGTAAAAAGATCCATCAGAATCCAGGCACTACAGTCATTTCCACTCTGCCCCTGGTACCTAGAGTCCCATCACCAGAATGCCTGACAGTGAGTGCTGGGTGTCCCCACCTCCAACGTTTGCTTATGAGAGAGGCACTAGTGTAGTTAAAAGCAGCTTGTTTGAATCCTTTGCCACTTATCATCTGTGAGTTTTGGTTATTTAACTACAGTCAGCATTCTAGAATCACCAAGCATGGTGATCACCTTACCATGGCCTTTGGTATCAGACTAACCTGGCTTGAATTACTCAGTGCTATTTCTCCCATAAAGATTTACAGCCTTAGACAGCCTGTACAGGGTCACTATGAGTCGGAACTGACTCAGTGGCATTTAACACCACCACCACCACCACACTGGTTACAATGAGAATGCAATGTCCTTAGGCTATTGGAAGGATCTATGACAAGGCCCTCAGAAAGTGCTTGAACTATAGAAAGTACCAAATCAAATTTAGTTATTATTATTAGACTTGTAGAACAAAACTGTAAGAATGAAAATAGGGGATCTGGGAAGTCAGTCTATGACAGGACAACTACAAAGCATAGGGAGGGAAAAGTATAGTTACAGAGTTCCAGGTGGCGAAGAGGTCAGGTAGATTTAGGATAAAACAGA